CTAGGTATTTTGTGTATACACAAGCATACCTATCTTGCAAGGTATGTATTATCTTCAGTATATAGATACTAAAAAACAGGCTGTGACTTTGCCCCAAGTCTCTCAGCTTAAAAGATATTTTTTTCTTTCTAAAGCTCCTATTTCTACACAGTTATTAGTGGTTTTTTTTTTCCTCTATAGTTTGTCCGTTAGTCACAATACCATCTCACTTTAACTTTGGGCAACTTAACTTATCTCAAATTGTAGTTAAGAAATGGGAGAAGTGGGTTTCCCTGGTGGTACAGTGGATAAGAGTCTGCCTGCCAATGCAGGGAACACGGATTGAATCCCTAGTCTGGGGAGATTACACATGCCTCGGAGCAATTAGGCACAAGCAGCCACTGAGCCCGTGTGCCTAGAGCCTGTGCTCCACAGCAGAAGCTGCTGCAGGGACAGCCTGTGCGCTGAGACAGAGCAGCCTGCACTCACTGAAACTGGAGACAGCCCACCCGAAGCAACGAAGACTCAGTGCGACCAAAAATAAAATGATTAATTTTTTAAAAAAGGAAAAGAAATGGGAGAAGTAACTTCTCCAAGCAGCCTTTCCTGCAAAATCCCCTAAGTAAAATTTGCTTCTAAACTAACTTAGGAGGCATCTTCATAAAGTTGCTGGTCAGCAACACTTAAGTAGGGAGAGTTAAAGATAACCCTTCTTGTGGGAGGTGGATGGGTCTTCATATCTAGGTATGCTGGATATTTTTATATTTCCTTCAGATCACTCTCCTTCTTCCTGTATCTTAGGAGGCTGTGTGTGTGAAGCCGTTTCAGTCGTGTCCGACTCTTTGTGACCATGTGGACTATAGCCCACCAGGCTCTTCTGTCCATGGGATTCTCCAGGCAAGAATACTGGAGTGGATTGCCATGCCCTCCTTCAGGGGATCTTCCCAACCCAGGGAATGAATCCTGCATTGGCAGGCAGGTTCTTTACCACTAGCGCCACCTGGGATGCCCCCTGGGAAGCTAAGCTGCATGAATTTTATCAATGGGTTCCCTGCACTTTGGCTTCCAGTTGGATTCAGTCAATAGGAAGTTCTCGGCAGAAGACAGGATGGAGAAAAATGACTGAAATCAGTGTATTGATTTCCCAGTTTCCCTCCGTTGGGGTCGCCTGGGCCCCACTCCTTTGATTAAAGGCCACTGCTCTCAATGCTATCTCGCAAAGCATCAGTAACCACTACCTCCCTTTCTCCTTTCAGGTGTAAGGCTGTTACTAGCCTCAAGTTACTAACCTATCCCTTGCCAACAATTTTTAAAAGTTAACTCTTCAAAAAAAAATAAAAGTAGCCCTTGATTATTTTGAGCATGTCAATTATTTTCTGTTGGGACCTCAATATACCTGGTATATTCATAAATTTCATATTTTATCCATATACTTCCATCTTACTCTCATACATGTAACCTTAAGTTCTTATGAGTCAACAGTTCTAAAGGGTCAACTGCTGGTTTAAGTAACAGAGCGTGACTCATACCTGTGCGATTCCCAAGGGTAGGGTAGTGGTATCAAGGAGACATAAATCTGAGAGATAATAATAGCTCAGGCCCCTGTGACTTAGCTACAAAAGATGCTGAACAGCTTTTCAGGCTTTGTGACTGTGGAACCTTCTGTGTTTCAGGTCCCCAAAGCTTTACACAAGCTGATGGACTCTGCCTGCTGGGGCCCTGGTTTCTCCATAACCTCCCAGAATGCCTCTGAGAAATCAGCTTAGAAATCCCTCAGGATGATAACTTTATCCTCCTGTTAGCACATTTTGTTTTTTTCTGAAGACAAAAGTTTGAGCTAATATCCTAATTTAAAAAAAAAAAAAAAAAAAGACTATCAGCAGATTTCTCATTTAGGATCATGTTTATCCCTATGTTGTCAGTGATAATTTCTTTCAATTCATCCCTTAATTTATTATTCACTGCTCTATCAGGATGAGGTTTTTCACATGTGCTAATGAATTACATTCTTGGTAGTAGTCTATTTGGGATAAGTAACTATTTCAGAAAACTAAGATCATGGCATCTGGTCCCATCACTTCATGGGAAATAGATGGCGAAACAGTGGAAACAGTGGCTGACTTTATTTTTTTGGGCTCCAAAATCACTGCAGATGGTGACTGCAGCCATGAAATTAAAAGACGCTTACTCCTTGGAAGGAAAGTTATGACCAACCTAGATAGCATATTAAAAAGCAGAGACATTACTTTGCCAACAAAGGTCTGTCTAGCCAAGGCTATGGTTTTTCCAGTGGTCATGTATGGATATGAGAGTTGGACTGTGAAGAAAGCTGAGTGCCAAAGAATTGATGCTTTTGAACTGTGGTGCTGGAGAAGACTCTTGAGAGTTCCTTGGACTGCAAGGAGATCCAACCAGTCCATCCTAAAGGAGATCAGTCCTGGGTGTTCATTGGAAGGACTGATGTTGAAGCTGAAACTTTGGCCACCTCATGCGAAGAGTTGACTCATTGGAAAAGACCCTGATGCTGGGAGGGATTAGGGGCAGGAGGAGAAGAGGATGACAAAGGATGAGATGGCTGGATGGCATCACCAACTTGATGGACATGGGTTTGGGTAGACTCCAGGAGTTGGTGATGGACAGGGAGGCCTGGCGTGCTGCGATTCATGGGGTCACAAAGAGTTGGACACGACTGAGTGACTGAACTGACCTGAACTATTTCCCACAAAGCATTTAATTTAAACCTATATATTTATATATATATCAATAAATATAAATTTATATATTTATATAATGCTTTATAAACCTTCCTGTTGGCATATTTCTTTCCATACTTTACAAAAGAAGTTGAGGTGCAGAGAGGTTAGTCCAATTGCCAAGGTCACCCACAAGACTATTAAGTGGGCAGAGTCCAAGGACTGTTTGCTCTCACTGCAACATAGTTGCTTTCCCAAGCCCTGAGAAAGTTCTCAGAGTCCAGCTTGGGTACTCTTGACTAGAGAAGTTGCCATCCTTTAGAAATTCTAATAAATGAAAACCCTTCACAATTAAACTGAAACTGAAACTTTAACCTGTAAATTGCAGCTGCCTGCAGAGTCACAAGATTAAAATTCTATTATACTTTTCTTTGGGGTCTACATTGAAACCTGAGGGTATTTTACCCCCTTCTTTGTGACCACCTTCAGGGCTGAACTGAAGAATTTGTGCGAATTTGCCCTCAGAGGGCCATGAAAGTTTGCAGTCTTAGAATTTTTCTTTGTCCTGGCTTGGTTTGAAAGGGATAATGAAGTCAGGTGACTGAAAAGCTTCTTTACTCCTTCCTTGCTCTCCTCTGCTATCTAGAAACTAGCAATGATTTCAATGCATCTTGGTTTAAGTAAGGCATCCAGTGGGGGTGGGGGGTGTGGATCTGAAGGACCTCTCCAAGCTGGTGTAAACAAGCTTCAAGGAGAAAGAGGGTAGATTCTGGAGGACAGCCGAATTTGGTGAAACCAGCTAACCAAGGTGTGAGAAGTTTCAGAGAGCATTTAAAAACCTTGAGGGGAAAATCTATAAGTGAAGTTTGTAAGGATACAAAGGGAAACAGATTGCTGAGTAGAAGCAGGCCGCAAAGATAGGAATAATAGCCTAAGTGTGAGTTTGGAGGGCTCAGACGGTAAAGCATCTGCCTACAATGAGGGAGACCGGGGTTCAATCCCCAGGTCAGGAAGATCCCCTGGAGAAGGAAATGGCAACCAACTCCAGTGTTCTTGCCTGGAGAATCCCATGGATGGAGAAGCCTGGTAGGCTTACAGTTCATGGGATCGCAAAGAATCGGACACGACTGAGCAACTTCACTTTCACTTTTTCACAAATCACAAGATACCAATGTTTTCTCCTTTAGAGTTTTCTCATACTTATCGTACTTGAGCCTCTCAACCCCAGTTTTCAGGCTAAGGCTAAGGGTGGATCTTTGAATCGGCAGGATAACAGGGAGTAAAGGGCGGAGCTAGAAACCATCTTACGGTTCTTCAACAAACTATTCCAAGCGGATTCCTGCCCAAGCCTTTTAGGCAAAGAACCGGGAGAGAGCCCGGCGAGATTTCCTTAGCTGCAAGGCGTGGACTGGCCTCTAGGCGGCGCCAGCGACAGGGAAGTCTAGGACTCCAACCCTGTGGGATACTCCAGCCACGCGCCGGTAAAAACCCAGACTTGTAAATCCGCAAAAGCGGCCACCGCCTGCTCAGGGCCTTAAGTGTCCTTAGCTCGAGGTAGTGGGCGGGGCAGATCCTGTTCATCCCTCTCATTGGCCCCCGGGAGTAACGGACAGGTATCTACAGCCAGCCCCGGCCAGAGGAACCTCACTACACAGGCTAGCTGATCTTCGGCACGCGGGGTTGGTGCTGCAGGGGCATTCACTAGGGGAGGCTACGCTTGCGTGCAAAGAATCACGCTTCTCGGCTCCCCTCTGGCTCTGCGAAGGGTAACTGCTCCTTAGGGAACTGTTGGGGCAAACCCCTGACTCCTCCAGGAGTGAAGCCTTTGCTGGGTTTGTTGTTTTTTTGTATGTGTGTAGCCTTCTTCTCTTGAGACCCACGTTCTTCCAGCGAAATTCTCTTTTGACAAGATTTCCTGATGCGAAACTTCGCTTACACTGCAGCTTCATTTTATTTCTCCCCAAATACCCTCCTCCCGCCCTGTCGAGCATTCTACGAAAAGGTGCCTCTTAGCTCGATCCAGAAACGGGCTTAGAGTACCCTCTCTAACCCCACCTAAATTCTACCCGGGGTCTCCTGGGCCCTGGTTCATCTCCACGCATCATTTCTTCGCTTGTCTCCTTCAGGAAACCTTTCCTGATTAACCCCGGTGGGACCGCAGTCATCCCAATTACTCGGGAGAGAGTCAAGGGCAAGTTGAAGGCAGAAATTCTGGAGCAAAGATGCTCAGAGTAGCCGACCGGTTCCCGTCCCATCCCGCCCCGCCCGCTCCGCGAGTAAAGTCAGGCAGCGGCTCGGGGACACAGCTGTATTGGGAAGCGGAGGCTCCTACACAGTAGGAGGAGGCACGTCCCAGGAGGCCCGAGGACTCTGTACACAACGCGAGTGGCTCAGCCCCGGCCGTCCGCCGTGCGGCCCGCCCGGGGCCCAGTCTGTGGAGGCCCGGAGGGGCGAGTTAAGGCAGCTTGGCTGAGGGAGAGGGGGAGTGGGAGTGTGCCAGTTACCCCCGAAAAGCTGGCTCACTGAGGGGGCGAGCTTCTCACCTCCCACTCCTCTCTCGAGGACAGGGGGAAAAGACAGTCGGCAGTCAATAAATAAACCCGAGGCGGGCAGGGACCACCGGAGACTCTCAGAGTCCAGGAAACCTGGAGGTGTGGAACAGAGAAGGAGGTCATCTGTCCTTGGAGACGCGTCCACGCTCACAGCCTCTGAGGGCATGGGCCTCGAGGGCCCCTTTTGAGGCCTTGGGGCAACTCCCTTCAAAAGTTAAAATGGCTGCCGTTAGGGACGGCCGCCTGCGAGGAGGGCCCGACGAAGGGAGGCTTCAGGGGCCCCTGGGGCTTCTCGACGTCCACCCTCTTCAGGGCGCGGCCCCGGTGCCCCTCAGGCCGACCCAGGTACAGGAGGTGTCTCCCGGCACCCCCTGAGTACCTGGAGGGGCCTCCCGAGGGAACTCGGGTGAGCAGCGCAGGGGGTGCACGGTGCGAGAAGGGCAACTTCCGGCTGCCGCCCACCCCGAGCCGGGGAGCTGGGGCGGAGAGCGCAGGCCGGGCGGCGGGGGCCGGGCACTTGCCCTCCGGGGGCACGTCCAGCCTCCGAGGCGGGGCACAGTCCCTGGGCAGCAGGCTGGGGCCGGCAAAGAGGGTGGGGGCGGGCTCGGGCGGCAGCGGCCGCGAGGTGAAAGGAGAGGCGGCCGGGGGCTCGGCCTCCTTCCTGGGCGCCTGCGGGCCGTGCAGGTAGCGCAGTAGTTCCTCCAGGGTGGTGACTTCCACGGCTTGCCCAGGACAGCCAGGTGGCGGCGGCTTCACCAGCACGCGCGGCGCGGGGCCACCCGCCGCGTTCCCTCCCCGGGCGCGGCTCCGGCCCTCCTTGGCGTTGTTCCCGTTCTGGTTCCACTCCCAGGGACCCCCGGCGTGGCGGAGGTGCTTGACCGGCAGCTCTGGCGTGGACTCCGGGGTGGGCAGGCAGGCCAGCTCCGGCGGGGGTACGCCCTCGGGAGGAGGCAGGAAGGTGGTGTAGAGCTGCGGCGTCTGTGCCCCGTCTCCGTCCTTGGACGGCGGCGGCGGCTCTGGACCCGCCCCATGTAGCCGGGCCAAGCTGCGGAGGGAGAGAGGACGTGGGATCCCAGAGGACTCGATATCCTTGCTCCGACGTCGGTGCGCTCGGCGACAGGCGCAGGAGACCAGAAGGCCAGAGACCGAGGCGCCCAGGGCGAAGGCCGCGGCCACACAGGCCAGGAGGAGTGGGATGGGGACTGAGCGGGAGGCTGAGGCTGGCGGGAGTTCCCGGCGCACGCCTGCCAACCGAGAGGGAGGAGAGGGAGGCTCAGCGAAGGTAGGCCCGCGGGAAGACATGTTCGAAGTGTCCCTCTCTTCGACTACTGCTCTGCTTTCACTCCGACACAGCCTTGACCCTCTTCAGAAGTCTCCTCCCCTGACCCCTCAACGCACACAGGCCACCCAACCACCGCTCACACACAAGCTAGAGCCTGGGCCTGGGGAGCCTCATCCCAGCTCCGGCCCCTGTAGCCATGCCAAGAGCAACTGCCAAACTCTGCCCGTGCTGAAGGAGGCGGGGCTGGGAGGGCCAGCTCTGGGGAGGGGAAGGGAGGGGAGGCTCCAAACAGGCATTATTAGTGGGCACCAAACAAGGATCAGTGAGGGGCTTAGAATTCTTCAAGAATCGGCAGCTCCACACTTCATTCCTATCCCTCCCAACCAGCCCCCTTACCCTGATTGTGAGCTCCAAGAGTGGAAGACTGGGGCCGGGGGTGGGCATCACTGGGGGGGCTGGGGGTCTCAGGGGAAGGGCCAGAACTCAGAAGCACTGATGACAGAGACCAAGTCAGAGCCAGTGAGACTCCTGTTCTTCACCTCTGATACCCGCAGCGTGTCCCCCACCCCCTTTGAAACCCAGAAGTCGGGAGCTGCAGCCTTCATTTTCTTCTGGGAATGGGGAAGGGCTTACCATGCAAGGCATTCTTTCATTTCTTTGTTCAAAAACTATCTATTAGGCATCCTATTATGGGCCAAGCACTGAGCTATATGCTAGATATTTAGAATGTTAACCCTTTCTGAGACTCTCTCAGAGTGTCCAGGGTGCTGGTCTGCTGCTGCCATGGGGCATGGACTTGGGTGAGTGTGGGCTGAGCATGGTGAAGTTGGGACAACAGAACTCACCATAAGTGGAATCCCCTGTACCAGACTGACTCCCAGTAGCTCCATCTATGAAACAGGGAGAGAAAGGGTGAAGGTGGGGGTAGGTTTCATGAGGAACTGATGGGCATGACCATGCCACAGAAGGAGAGAAGGACAAAAGCCCACACCTGGGATGGTGTCTATGGCCATCAGAGCCATACTCAACAATGGATACAGCTGCCTTTGCCCTTTTTACCTTGGCAGTCATCATGCTCCATGGATTCCTGGTTACCAGTTGGATCCACATCAATCCTAGGAGGAAATGGAAGTGGCTCAGTGCAGGTATACTTCTTGTCCCCTCCCCCAGCCTAGCCCTCCGCCGCCTCTCTTAGTAGTGGGGAGCTTTCTCCTCAGGAGATCCAGGAGCCCCTCACTTACCCACCAGGTGCCCTGATATCCACGCAGCCTCTGGAGCTGTCCCATCCACAGTATGGGTCCTGAGAAGCCAGACAGCTCCTAGGGAAAACTGAGTCATATGAGGCTGGGACCCTCCACTCTAATCACAGTCCATTCCCCTGCCTCTTTGACTCTCACCCTGGCCTGCAGGAGGCTCCTAGCCTGATACTCCCATCCTATCCACACCAATCCCTAGTCCCGTCCCTGGTGACTGCCCACCTGCAGGCTGCTTGTGGACATCCCACCACACACAACCATCCCCTGCATTTCCCTGCCACCTCCAATGCCTTTGTGCCTGCAGGCCCAGGGAGTCTGGCTTCAAGTCCCTCTCACCTCCGACAGGCCCCATGCCGGGCACATCGACTAAGAGGGAGGTAGATGATGCAGCCAGAAAAAGCCACAAAGAGCCTGTGACCTTCAGTGTCCAGCTCCAGCCCTATGACCCGCCGTGCTGTTTGGGCTGCCCGCTTCCCACTGCACCTAAGGTGAGGCCAGAAGGAGTCAGAGATGGAGCAGGTGAGGCTCCTTTTTCCCTGGGTGAGGTAAAGAAAAGAAGGTGGGGAGGCATACATGCAACTGAATACAACTCATGGGACTACCCTGCAATGCCACACAATGTCATCTTCTCTCCAAGTCCCTCTCTCTTCCCCACAACTTCCAATATCAGAGTCCCCACCCCATTCCCATATCCCTATCTCCCACCTCACATCCCATCCCTGCTCTGCAGGGGGCCTGCTGGACAAAGGGCTCACCGGGAGGGGCTGTAGGCATCGATCTCTTCCAACAGAATGGGCTCAGAGCCCCCAGATTGCCCCCCTGGGGGCAGCACCTTCAGCACTGTCCCATCATTGGAGCCAAGGAACAGGACTGTGGTGTTACTGTAGGGACCAGCCATGCCATCCACAGCCACCTGGGTCAGTAGGGCCCTGGAGGAATAGGCCTCAGGTCAGGATAGCCTGACCAGTGGAAGATTGAGTGTTTCAAGGACCTGGATACCCCTTCTCTGCCCTTCACCCAGCCCAGGGTTTCCTTCTTAGCTCTGTCCCTCCCACTTTCATAGGTTCTTCCTCCTACTAATATGATTTACCTTGTGGGGTCAGATAAAGAGAGTGGGTGAGGGGCAGATGGTAGTGGTCAGGATTTTTTAGCTCTATACCTGCTGGTGAGGGTGAGCAGAGGCTGATGGGTGGCAGGTGGCACAGCAGGGTCCAGGAGTGGGTGAGCCTTGATGAAGGTCAGGACATCATCAGGGAGGTCTCGAGAAGAGGGGAACAATGCAGCTACACCTACTCCTGCACAGGATCCGGGCCTGGAGGACACATAGGAAGAGGCAGCCTTAGGGCAGGGAGCTGGTGGTCACAGAGCCTAACTAAGCCCCAGCAGCCTGCCCTAAGGCTGGGAGGCCCCTTGTTCCCTCTGCACACAGACATTCACACTACTGCTTCCCTTCCCTGCTGCCAACCCATGACAGCCTCCTCCCCAGACCTTGGACGCCTTGCCCTCTTCTCATAACCTATTTGGGGAGCAGACACTGCTTGCTTCTGCCTCCACCAAAGCCCCCCCTTTCTGGGTACCTGGGGGAGGGGACCCTGTCCTCAGACACAGGGGTCCAGGCCCCATCCAGACTCCTCTGCTCCTTGAACTTGCCCTCAAACCCATGCTCGATATCATCCAGGTAGAAGGCGCAGACCGCAGAGCCAGGAATGCTGAGGGAGCCAGAGAACAATGTGGGAAGGTGTTAGAAGGGACAGCAGAGTGCCTCCCAGGTAAGACTTGCCCCCCCCCTTCACATACCATCTTAGGGGAGAGCCTGAGAGAGCGGGGCAGCCCCTGGGGGCCATGCCAAGAAAGTACAGGAAAAATGGAGCTTCCCCTCACCACCCTCATCAGTAGGCTCTGAGGGATGGTCTTTGTTCCTGGGAGGCATGGAGGGAAGGGGACAGACTGGGCTACATTGACTAGTCTAGTACCAACCTATTGGTCTGGGTGGTGAAGACCCCAAAGAGAGCAGAGCGACCATACAAGTTCACAGGCCCTGTCAAGGCCTGTAAGACATCAAAATAGAAGGTAGAGTCTCCAGGGACAGAGCAGTTGAGCCGCAGCTTGAGGAAGGATGTCCAATGGCGGTCCAAGGCCCTAGGTGAGCCACCCATGTCACGCTTACACACACGGGCCACACGGGAGAACTGCACCTGTCGGGAGAGTCGGGGAGGAAGGAGGTCAGTGAGAGAGCCCCCAGGCCAGCAGGATGAGAGCGGTTTGGTGGGGTTAGAGTACCAAGGGACCAATGTCAGGGGCACAGCAAAGGAAGGATGTGGTGTGGTTGGTCAGTCCAGGTCAAGGTGAGGGACAGCAGGATGAGGGGACTGAGGCCTGAGGGCAGCTCCACAGTGGGGGTCTGAGCCCAGCCAGGAGCTCTTCCCTGAATGTCTGGCTCCTAGGATCCAGCAGAACCCTCTAGCTACCTCCCCCAGTGCCCACCTCCTTACCCTCCCCAGCCGGGCATCCTCCACAGAGACTTCTCGGAAGAAGAAGTAGACATGGTCTCCATGCTCCAAAGCGTGGACAAAGTGTGGCTCTGAGTGGGGAGTGGCAGGAATGGTATGGAAGAGTATCTGTACCTGTCCAGAATCTCCTGATCCCACGCCGCCTTTCCCCTTAGCACACCTGCACACAGTTCCCACCACCTGCCTGCCGCAGCCCTCCCCCTGCACCTCCTCCCCAAGAGCAGCCTCCCTCCCCTAGGCCCACCCTGACCTCGGAGCCACTTGGAGTCGTACTTGGCGGAGCGGAGCGGGGGCTGAGGCCCAAGGCTTCGGTAAACCACAGCGTCACTGGCCTGGAAGTCTGCAGCTGTGGCTGAATACAGGCTGCCCTCTGGAGGGGTGGGTAGGGTGGCATCAGGGGGGCTCAGGGATCTGTATGTTGGTTCTTCTTGGGCCTCCCACACCCCTACCTTGGCCTGACGCTGGCCCCTACCTTACCCCTGATTCAGGAGCATGCAGGAAAGACCAAACTGGGAAAGGGGCTAACATGGCAGCCACATGCCTGCTTCTCACATGCCCAGGTGCACACCTGCAAACACGGCCACATTGGACTGGGTGGCATCAAAGGGGCATCGAGCCTGCCCACTCAGCTCCTCACCCTCCTGCTGCAGCGAAGTTATCTGGAGGCAGAAGGAACAGGTTCTTGGAACCCTTGGGGAGTTGCAAGTCTGGCTCCATAGCCCACTTCCTCATGTCCCCTTGCCTCCTTGCCCCACCTCTGCTGGACCCTCCACCCTGGGCACTCCGTCCATCAACCCCTGCTTGTGCATCCCCACCAAACTAATCGCCCAGCTTGAGTTCTCCTGCTACTCCCATCGTGATGCCCCACCCTCGCCTTTGTACCCCATAGCTGCGGCACACGGGGCTGAATGAGTTCGTTCCACAGGCAAGGAGCGTCTGGGAGTCCCAGGGCACGAGAACACGAATGTAGTTGTAGCACTCGTCCTAGAGAATCCAGAATTCTATGTCAGCCACAGGGCTCCCTGGGAGTGGGACAGGGGGTCATGGAAGTAGGGTTATCCTCCTTGAGCCAGTTAGAGCAATAGGGGGTAATGTTTCAAAGAAGCTATTTATTACTAGTCCTGGGGCCTTGGGCAAGTTCTCTGGCTTCTCAGAGCCTCACTCTTCTTTTGTGTGAGATGTGTAAAGGAAGCTAAAAATCATCAATTCCCTTTCCTATATATTTTCCTCTGTGACTTGAGATAAGAGAAGTAGTAGAGATTTGGGTACAGTGGAGGGTCAGTTGGACAGAGCCTGGAAGCTGGGTCATCTCCTACCCTCAAGATTTTCATCCCACTCCTCACCGTCAGCTTGCCCCGCACAGCACAGTTCTCCATGTCTTGGCTCCTCCATGTTAGATACTGGAGGAAAAAGTAGAAGAGGGAAAATCATGGCGCAACCTAGTCCCACTGCACATCATGGTTCCCTTTTGGAGCCTTCTTCCCACCCCCTGGATCCCCGTTAGACCTTTCCCGCCTCATCTCCACGCCTCAACCTCCTCCCCCACAGCCCCTCACCTTGTTGGGCACGAGCCCCTCCCCTTCTTCTTGGGCTTGAAGATCAAAGGAGAAAACGTGATCCCTGAAGGGAGAAGCAAGGAGGGATCAGAGCCAAGCCACGGCTCCCCACTTGAACTCCTGAGTCCCTACCTAGTCCGTGTTCAGCCGCTTGGGGACAGTGCAGGCCTCCAGCCCTATCTTCTCCCCCGACTCCACACCTTGGCAACTATGTTCTGGGTCCTAGCATGTCCAAACTCTGGGGCTTGTACACCCACATGTGTGCTCTGCAAAATGTTGCAGTGACCATGCAGGTCTCATGCCTGCCTGGGAACAGGCATGGCAGCCCCACAATGGTGCCACAGCCAGTTTACCTGGCAGCCACTAGCAAGGTCCGGTTCAGGGTCAGGAATCTCTGAAAGTCCAGCCCAAGTTCTGCAACCACAGCATCATCCTCCAGGCCCCGGAACCAGGATAATGGAGAGATACCTAGAAGGCACAGAGGGGTGGGTGCTGATGCCCTCAGGATACAACACTCCCTCAACATCCTCTCCAACCAGGGGAAACCCAGCCCTGGACATAGTGGATATGTGAGATGAGTTGGGAGGTATTAATAAAGGTATTAATAAGGCTATTAATAAACACAATATCAGCTAACTCTGAGCACTTCACCTCTGCCAAGCACTGTGTTAGCACTTGACCTGCATTGTCTCATTTCAGACAACAACCCTATGAAGTAGGTTGGTACCATCTTACAGATGAGGAACCTGAGGCTTAAAGCCAATAAGAAATTTGCGGAGCTCATTTAGCTTGGGAGTGGCAGGCACCCCAATTCAGATCCAGGTCTGTCTGAGTTCAGAACTGAGCCCAACCCAGTTCTTAGATCTGCCTTAAGGCTAACGATTCCCTTTCATTCCACATTGTATGCTGTCCCATATAGACCATTTCCTCACACCATCTCTCCCAGCCCTCTTTTTGCACCCTCCCTCAAGGCTCTTCACAGACCACCTCAATCCTCCAAGCTTTCTGCCTCCTCTGACCAACTCCAGCATCCACCTGGCCTGATCATGGAAACCAGTCAGCAGTGTTCAGAGGGAGCCCAGAGTTCAGAAAGAGAGGTGATTTAACATTTATACCATGATTAGAACTGTGTCTGGCACATGGAAGTGTTTGCTACTCTTATCTATTCCCCCAACAGTTACTCTCAATAACTTAACTGCCTTAAAATTACTTCAACCTTAAAATTACTCTAAATTCTACATATATAACAGGAAGCTGCAGATAGATAAAGGTCTGTCATGGTGGGACAGTGGCCCTTCCCTGTCCAACTGGCCCACACTGGCTGGTGTGAAGCCTGCCAGTGTGACCCCAGGTAAGGACAGGATACGCCTGCTCCCTCCCCCAGCCTTCTCACTCAGCCTTTCCTCCTCTCTCCTGACCGGGCCTGGGACATTCGGTAGGTCCCACCGTGACGGACCCAGATGTGGTGATGATAAAGTGGTGGAGAGGGAGGTAAGAGGTGTTGGGAACCACTGAATTAGTCCCAAGCCTTCATTTTGTAGCTAATAATAATAGCAAACACATATACATCATTTACTTTGTGCCAGACAGTGTTCTTAGCACTTTACCTGTATTACCTCATTTAATCCCTAAATAATTCTATGAGGTAAAATACTTCTTTTTTTGGCCATGCCTCATGGCCCATGGGATCTTGGTTCCCAAACTAGGAATTGAACCTGTGGTCACTGTGATGAAAGCACCGGACCACCAGGGAATTCCTGGTAGAATACAATTATTATCTTCATTTTGCCGATGAGGAGACTGAGGCAAAGAAGTTTAAATAACTGCTCATAAAGTGAGCAGCTTTAACAGGAATTTGAACCTGCTAAGGTTTGGTCTGAGCAAGAGTCCATGTTCTTTATCACTGAACAATGCTGCCTGGAAGTGAAGAAAGTCGGCCGGCGGATGAGAAGTGACTGGCCTCGGTGCCACTCCAGCTGTCTGCTCCTCTTTCCTGTCAACTCTTAGCTTCCATAAGACTGAGAGCCCTCCTTCAGCTTGCTACCCACACAAAAGGTCTCAGTGTCTAATTGCCAAGACTGAGTGCTGAGCGCACATAGAGGGTCAGGGTACCACACTCACCTTGCAGGTCAGAGGTCAGCAGAGGGAGAGGGTCCTGGGGAAATGCAGCCTGGGTGTGGGGGGTTGAGAGCAGCAAGAGTAGTAGCAGCAAGGTCATGAAGTGGGGGGCACGGGGCATTCTGTGTGGGGCAGCTCAGGCCCCAGGGGGTGCCCCCTCACCCATATGCTGGCCCTGAAAGAGAAGACAGAAGTGGGGGAAGGGGCCAAACTTCCTCCACCTTTGAAGCAGGAGGGCTCCTTCCCAGGTCTATCCCCAGAAGACCCTGCGGAGAAGGGTAAGGGATCCTATCTCTGGCACTGCCTCAGTGCCAGCCGGCTGTCACTGTCACTCAAGGCCCTTCCCTCCAACTGGCCCAAACTGGCCGGTGTGAAGCCTGCCAGTGTGACCCCAGGTAAGGACAGGATACGCCCGCTCCCTCCCCCCAGCCTTCTCACTCAGCCTTTCCTCCTCTCTCCTGACTGGGCCTGGGACATTCTGTAGGTGACACCTCCTGGCCCCCTCTTGCTAACCTCGTCTCAGCTATAATTAGACCCTGAAGCCTTAAAATTATAAATAGTGATTCCTTGGCACCGGAGGGAGGAAGAGGATACCATGTCTGCCTCCCCTCCCTCACAGACCCCCATGGCACCCTGGGAGCAGTTTAGGCACTGTGCCTTGGTAGAGGCAGCTGTGAGGCAGCCATCATTCTGTTCAGGGCTGAGGAAGAACAGAGTTGGGGAGCAGCCCAGGGGTCTTTGTCCTGGTCTAAGCTCCTGCTTCTAGGGCCCTTTCCATTGCTAGGGAGAAGCTAGGTAGGGAGGGGGGCGGGGGAGGGGGGCTGTCTTAGCCAAAAATGAATCTGCATCAAAGCCAGATCAGAGGCTAAATTTAGCTCTGGCTGCAGCTGTCTGCCCGACCACTGTGCCCCCTCCCAGCCTCCCTAGCCCCCTGTTCCCTCGCAGACTCCTAAGAAACCTTGCATGTGCTCAATTTGGAGAAGAGTGGACCCACCCCCTGTGAGGAGCCAGTCATAGAAGGGGCTGTGTGGTGAGGAGTTATGGCTGAATATGTCCCTCTCTCCCTTCCTTCCCTCTTTGGGCTGCCTTGGAATGAAAACATAAATAATTCAATGACAGGCAGGCGATTGTAGCCCAAAGTCCAGGAAAAGATAGATATGGTGGAAGGGACTATAAGACAGCCCTCCTTCCCACCCATTAGCCTCCATCGGCCTTCCCCAGCCAAGCTGACCCTGGCTGGAACCCACAGTGGGAGGTGAACACCAGCTTCCTGCCTTCCCTTGAAGTTGAAGTGAGGGGCTGAGTAATGAGTAAGCCCAGGAAATCAGGTCAGCAAGGGTGAGATTCCCTCCTTTCCATGAACATACAGTTATCCTTCACTAATCTTCAGTTGCCTGTCCTGCCACGTCCCCCAAAGAAGAGACCCTGGGCTTCTAGGCCTACCCCATTCCATCTCCCCCACAACTCCACCCTTGGAGCCAGGACCCAAGTGTACCCCACCCCCAATCCAGCATCACTGATGGGGAGGCTGACGTCAGATGGGATCCCAAGAGAGCTGGAGGAGGGGAAGGGGTAAGAGCACCTAATGATGACCCCCTCCCCAGGGGCAGAGCAGTCAGCTAGCTAACGACCCTCTCTGGTGCTGAAAGGCCAAGCCTCCCTCTGCCACCCCCCCACCATGTTTCCGGATGTTGGTGCTCCCAGGGGAAGAGAAAGGGACACAGCTTGTCTCCTATCCTCCCCCTCCTGCCCCGCCCCCAAGTTGCCCTGGGCAACTGGTATCTTCACCCAGGAAACAACTTCAGTCTCAGGCAAGTGGGGAGAATAATGATCTGACCCCCTTCTGCTCCCAGGCTACGCCTACTTCCATCCCTGCCCTCAGAGCTATTGCCCTTTCTTTACCTGGGGTGGTGACTCCCCTGGGGGCTTGAGGGGGATCGGAGACCTCTGACCTGATGGAAGAAGGGACAGAAGGAGGGAAGAGACTGAGTTATACCTCCTTACCACATCCCTTAAAAGTAAATGTGAACATCAGGAGAAGTCTAATGAGGCTAGGGTAGGGGAGATGCTGCCCTGGAACTGGGGGACACATTGATATCGAGCTTGATTACAAAGGTGCTGGCCATTCATGCCTAGAGCTGTGAGGGCAAGGGCAGGTGCTGGGGCTGGACCCTACCCAGAAAATCCTGGAACTTCAGGACCAGTCTTGGGAAAAGGGGCGATTGGGAGAGTTTAGAGGGCATGCCGACCACTCCCAAATGAAAACCTTCAGAACCCAGCAGCTGTCTTAGCAAAAGCACCCTAGCTGGGGACAATAGAGGATAATTTGCATATCATTTGCATGTTCTTCATCCCTAGGCAAAATGCTCTAATACCAAGCCCCCAGCCCCTTCTTTCCCTCAGAGCAGGCCCTGCCTCCCTCCCACCCCATCTCTCTCCACCCTACCCCCCACTTTAGACTGGATTAGTCCAGCCTCTGAAAACACTTGGTTGGCCATTGCACTGGCCCCCCAGACTTAACTATGCTGTCTCTAAGAGGGCTTCCCATAGATGATTTTAGTGAGCAGCATCTGAGTTGCCCCCGTGCAACCCATGGCTTCGGGAAAGGCTTATCCTGCCAGGACCAATCCCAGCTGCTTCACACCCCCCATTTGGAGCAAATGGGGGAGGCCTGGCCAGCTCTTTCTCCCCCTCCTAGGTTCTCCCCTTGCTGGGAAGAGGAAACAGCCCTTCTCTCTCCTCCTGGCCCTGCAGCCACCTCTGGGGAGTGGCCAGGGTCATAGCCAGATTCTAGCAGGGGGCTGGGGAAGGGATGGAGAAGGGGAGACCCAGCTGGGGACAATAGCAGGAAGCCTTCGGGCTGGTCGCCGGCCCCAGTCCACGTTCCTCTAAGGATGGGGTGGGGGGTGGGGGGCGCACCAAGGAGCCTCAGGGAACAGGAGCCTTCCCTTCTCCAAGACAGTTCCCCTCACCCTTAGCTATCAGCCCCAGGCTTGCTACCTACCCCCCCTCCCTCCCAGCCCCGAACGAGGATAATCCAGGTGTCTAGAGCCTCGCTTGAGGTGGGCCTGAGGCCAGGGGCTCGACGTGTCTCCCCCTCACTGGATCTGGGGCTCGGAGAGGGGCGGGTAGCAGAGTCTGGGCCGGGACCGGGTCCCAGAGCCACGTTAGCGGGAGGAGGGGCTGGAGGGGCCTGCAGGCGCAGATCGAACAGGGATGGGAGCGGGGGTTGGGAGCGGAGGCGGGTCTCCAAGGCCAGGGAAACAGGGCCAGAAGCTTGGAACCGAGGAGGGCGGGCCTGCGGCCAGCGCAGAGCGGGGTCCGCGGGCTGGAGATGCAATCGTCAGCCGGGCTCTCCGCCTTGGGAGACCAAGGTCTAACAAAGCCCCTGAGCGAGTGGGGTGAAGGCGGGTTATGGGCTCTAGGACTAATGTTCATCGGGGGCCCATTCCCGACTCTATGATCAAGTCAACCCCGCTGGGAGGTGCTCAGATTCCCGCTTGCACAATGACAGAGGTGCAGCCGGAACATCAAAGTCTGGAACGACGCGTTCTCCTTCCCATCCCTGCAGGGGAAACGCTAGGGTCCGTTTCCCCACGGGTCTCGAAGCCTTAATCTCTCTGCTGGGGAGGCAAGAGACCTGGTTTTCCAGCCTCTGTACGATGCGCGCCTCAAATAATGCCTTTCGCGCTCCTCAATGCAAGGGATGCGACTCGGAGAAGCCAGGTCACAAGAGGCGCGCAGACCTTGCGCCCCACAGTGCCGTAGCGGGGCTCCCCTCGTCCCTCGGTTCACCCCAACTCCGCTGACCCTCTCCGTCATCCAAGCACGACAGATCGCTGGCACCCTCCCGGGTCCCTCTGGCACTTCGAAGCTTACCCCCGGCCTTCGGCGCCCCGATCCTCCCCGCCTCCCTGCAGCCCAGCCCTACTCCGGGATACTTGCTCCGAGATTCGGGTCAGCGGGAGAGAGATCGCAGCGGTCGAGCAGCGGCCGCGCACCGCGCCGAGTTCTCAATCGGCTGGGGCCCCAGTGAGATGTGGTGAATGACCGAATTGGATGGAGCTTGGATCTGGGCTCCCGGGCGCTGTCAGGTCGCTCGAGTCCTGGGTCCCAGTCGCAAACCCCACTCCCGCCGCGGTTCCGCGGAGGAAAACAATGCGACCGCCCGGAGCTCTGGGCCGGGCCCCAGCCGCCCCGCCCGCCTCCCGACCGGACCCGCCTCCGGCCCGCCTCGGGGTCCCCATTACTAATCGGGCTCTCGGAGGCCGGTTAGACACCGCCTTCTCGACACCTCTCCACCAATAGTTCTCGGAGGAGGAGGGGCGTCGGGAGCACCGCCCACCGAGAGGGCCTGGCCGGGAGGCTGAGCAGGAGACCGTAGCCAGGCGCGAGATCCACGGACAGTCGCTGCGACCCGGTCAGAGGAGGGGTCACACGCTTTAACATGGAGAGGCCCTGGGAAGAAATCTCACAAGAGGAAGGAACAGCAGCTGGGAGGAGAGACAGACAGGAAGCCCGAGGACCTCGGCTGGGCTGGGCTGTCAGAGCCGGCGCGACCCTCCCTCTCTCTCCAGTGCCTTTGACTACCCTGCTTCTGGGCGCACCTCTCCCCTACTCTGCCCCCAAACCTCTATTCCTCCTCTCCACTCTTTTTACATCAGAGCGTTTATTCTTCTCATGTGCCTCCTCTGGTTGATCCTGACTCGGGTAAGGGAGACAGACCTAGCATGCCTTTGAGGGCTTGAGGCCTGGAAAAGGAAAGGAAGATGTCGCCAGGAAGTTTGCCTTATCTTCATCATCTCCCTTCCTATCCCTACTGTCAAAGCAAGATGTACTTAGGCCAGTAGACCAGAAACTAAGGAGCCAGGAAGTCAGGGTGGCCAACAGTTAGGCTGCTGGTTGATGGAAAAGGACAGGTGAGTAGGGCTGAAGCCAAAACAGAGATGTGGAGACTGGGACAAACTGATTCAGAGAGTCACACAGAAAGAGGAGCAACATGGGACCGGAAAGAAAGGAAAAGTAATCAGCTGCCCCAACCCGACATATCCTTGCTGCCCCACAGACAAGGATTAGTGATGTCCCATTTTTCCTCAGGGGGCCCTGGACATCCCTCCAAACACCAAAACTGCCCTTTCTCGATCCCCATCCTCTATAAAGACCCTTTGATTCCAGGAATGTCAGTGGGGAGGAAGAATGAGGCTACTTCAGACAGCTCTGCTTAGCTCCCACCTTGGTATTGCCTGCTAAGATTCTTCCCTGCGTGGGGACTGGGACAAAAGACGTTCTCAAAATTCCCAGGATAGTGGGTGGCATGGGAGACATTGATATTATTGGATAGTTTATCTGAGCGGGCACACACACACACACACACACACACATGTCCTGGTCTCTGGACTTTAGGAAAGGAGAGGCAGGGGTTTGCTACTCCTGGACGGTCTTTAATGGACTGAGATCAGGGTGGATAGCGTCACTGACTTGTGAAGTGAAGTGAAGTGAAAGTCGCTCAGTCATGTCAGACATAAACATATACACACACAATCACAGAGACAGAGATGGAAGGTGAACCAATGAGATAAACAGAATCAGAAACAATGGGACTCTCCTTACACAAGGTTAACTGCCAGGGGATTCTTGGGTCCAAAGTAATTCAGTGGTCAGTCAGGGCTGTTTTGGGAGAAAGACACCTCAGAATATAGAGTCACATGGAGGTCGAAAGAAATGTCCCCAGTTCCTAGTACAGGGCTTCGGTATTATGTGCTCCCTGGAATTCCCCTGGAGGTCCAGTGGTTAAGACTCTGTGCTTCCACTTCAGGGAGCATGGGGTTGATCCCAGGTTGGAGAACTAAGATCCAAAAATATTAAAATATGTTCTCATTGAATAGAGTAGTGAATGGGGATTAAGGTATAACTCATTTGAAGTTTTAGGGCCCAACTAAAATCTCAATTCAATCCAGTAAATATTAAGCACTTACTTCAAATATAATTTACTGTGGAATGTGGTTGGTGTGTTTAAGAAAACACCATCTATTTGAACTAAAACAAGATTTACATGTACTGAATGATTAAAAAGCAATACAAAATCTCAAAAAAAAAAAAGTCTTCCCTGCTTCCCCCCACCACAAAGTTACATTGGACATAATTCCTAAATGAAAGAAAAGACAGTAAGTGTCCTTCAGGATAACTGCAGGGAAAGATGTTGGATACATTTTATCATGGAGGCCAGGGAAAACCTGGGTGGGAGTTGGCTTGGTGCAGAAGGAGAAAATGTTTCAAAGAACATAACTTCAGCAAAAGCTTTTACTTGGTGAGCAACGAGCCTGAAGCCTGGATAGCAAAAGGACCTGTGTGACTTGATACGTAAGGAATGTACTAGCAGAGGACAGGGGAAGAGGGAGACAAACTATGGAAGGCCGGAAATACCAAGGTGAGTAGGTTAAAATAATTTGATAGGAAAAGGACATCATTTCAAGTTTTTGAATAAAGGTATTACCAACAAAATACTTTATTTTAGCAAGATAGGAGACCTTCTAGCAAGAAAACAGGAAGGTTCAAGGATGAGAGGAGAGGCAGTCAGACAAGGATGGTAGCTTTGGGTATGTAAAGAAATGGGTGAATCTGAGAGCTATTTCAAAGGACAAACCTACATGACTTTCTTCCTACTCCCCAGGGTCTTCTGGAAAAAATCACAGTCCCACAGACTAGAGCCTTTTATAAATCCAGCATCTCCAAGCTTGGAAAACTACCCTCTCCCAGCCCCTACAAAAAGCTGTCTCAAATGCTTGCTTCTTTCCTCAAGTTCCTTTCCTCAGAGCTTCCTTGCTTCCTTAGCAGAATCCATATCCCTCTTCAGATAAAAACAGAGATAACAAAGTGAGAGGCTCACCAACCTTTTGCCCTCTAGACACACACTTAGCTGCCCCCTCACATTTGTCTCATTCCAGCAGGTGGGGCATCAATACTGCTTGTCTAAGGTTCACCATTCTGCTTTACTATAAGCTCCACACACACAGGGCCCACCTATGTCTCTCTTACCTTTGTATCCTTTGCATTTCCAACACGGCTTGGCACATTGCAGCTATTAACTGTTAATACATTAGTTGAATAAATTTGATTCTGTATATCCTCCTTAGGGGTTTTATGCCACATATTTTCAAATACTTTCTTCTTTATTTCTAATCTCTCCTTTTCTACTGACATCTTCCCCTCTGCATATATACATGCTCAAATATCTTCCATGATGAAAAGAAAAAAAAAAATCTAAACTTTCCCTTAATCCTTGCCTGTATTTAGCCATCACTCAATTTCTCTCTTTCCTTCATAGCTAAATTTGTACAGTCATCTATTCTTGCTGTATCCATTTCCCCATTTGTCAATTATTTTCATTTTGGCCCCCATCAATCCATTGAGATTGTTCTCATCCAGGTCACTGATAACCTCCTTGTCATATTCAATGAACAGCTTTTCAGTCTTTATCCTTCTGGCCTCTTTATGGCATTTGGACAAGTTAATCTGTCCTTCGTTGAAATGCTCTCTTTTGCCTCCTGAGTTCTTTCTTTCAAGAAAGACTAGGGACTTAATAGATATATTTTTTAAGTGAATGAATGGCTTCATTTCTATTGATATGGTCTCTTTTTCTCAGCGTTTCTGACCTCTCTTTAAATATTAGTGTTCCCTAGGGTCATATCCTTAGCTACCTTACCTTGCTCTACACACCATCATTGGTCAAGATAATACATATCAACAGTTCTGATAACTATTTATGTGTGGCTCACCATAAACTCTATTATTATTCAATCTCAGTCTTTCTCCTGAGCTCTAAACTCACTTCTATAATTGCTTACTGGATACTTCCATTTGGATTTTTCAAAGGTACTTACCACTTAGTCTAAAGAAGGAAGCTTGTCTTTTATCTTTGTATCCCCAGCACTTAAGTCATAATGCCTGGCACATAGTATATAGTAAGTAGAGAAAGAAATAAATGCACCAAAGATGTGAGCTACCTCCAGCTATGTCAGGCCGAAGTCTTGCTTGCCTTCTTCAAATCATGTTGAACTTTCTCTTTCCAGACTGTTCTGTGAGTACTGATCCTAACCAGTATGGTAAAAGTATGGTAAAACCTCAGCTGAGCAGAAACATAGGAATGTTCCATTTTGAGTATTTTTCCAGATAGTTACCAAATTAAGTGCAAAACATTTTCATTCTGTTTCAAATAGAGATTATTCAAAAAGATATTAATTTCCTATGGATGATATAGTGAAAAGACCACAACAAGGAGTCATTAGGTTTTCCCCCAGTGGCTCAGCATAAAGAATCTTCCTGCAGTGCAGGAGCCGCAGGAAACATGGTTTGATTCCTGGGTAGGGAAGACCCCTGGAGGAGAGCATGGCAACCCACTCCAGTATTCTTGCCTGGAGAAGCCCATGGACAGAGGAGCATGGCAGGCTACGGTCCATGGCATCACAAAGAGTCAGACACAACTGAGGTGACTCAGCACGCATACACACACAAGAGTCATTAAGACTAACCTTGTAAATAAACTACTTTATCTCTAAGGCAGAGTCTGTCACCTGTGAGTGGACACTACCTGCCTGCCTAGTTCACAGGATAAAGTAAGATAAAGTAAAGGTGAAATGTTTTATAAATCTCAAAATGTTTCACACCTTTAAGGTATCATTTAACCAGATTTTTGCTTACTCAGAGGAGGTTCTGTGGACTTAATTGTCTAGGTAAACAGTGAAAACCCCAAAGTCTAGAATGTATGTAGTTAATACTGTTTGCTCCTCTTCCTCGTAGCCAAAAATGCTGCAATTTTCAATGGCCAACTTTTTTGTTTTCCTTCTCTTGCTCTCTGTGTCAATTCTCATTGTTATCAGTGTTTTGGCTTCTAAAAGCTCCTCTTCCCCTTTTATTTATTTTTGGCTGTGCAGGATCTTTGTTGCTGAGTGGGCTTTTGTCTGGTTGTGGTGAGTAGGGGCTGCTCTTTGTTGCAGGGCGTGTGCTTATTGTGGTGGCTCTGTTGTTGCGGAGCACAGGCTCTAGGGCA